AGATCCAGGGATGGGACAGGGGACCGAGGTCTACACCAGTCAGAGCGTCCTAATCCCCTCCGTCCCGGTGATTGGTTGAGGGGTGGGCACGTGGCCCAGTCGCTGTCAGTGAGATGCAGGAGACTTCCGCTGAGACTTGGAAGAGGGGACGCTCACTGCTTCCGACTGGACCTGAACCAGCTCTGCGCTACCCCCTCGCCCCCACCCCCAACGGCTTATGGAAAGCTTAGAGGGCTTTAAGGAATACTTGTCAGAGCCAGGAGTCATCAGCTTAGAGAAGAGAGCTCCCTGGGCCCAAGTCAAGGGATGGGGTCTGGGATAGGACACCCATAGAGCCTGGGGGCCCCTGGCCGAGCCTGGCATTCCATTCTCCAGTTCATTCACCTGTTGATGCAGCAGAACTGCTCATCCCCCCCCCGCCACCCCAACCTATCTGAGCAGAGGAAAAGTAACTGGGGAGAGAGATGTCAGGGCAGAGGGAGCAGCCACTGTTGGTGCGGCCAAAGTGTGTGTCTCCCGTGGGCCACGGGGATGCTGTGGAAGGCAGGGAAGCTCAGAACGAGCCATCTTGCCAGCATCCTGCTCAAGAGGGATGCTGGCTGCCAGGAGTTCCCAGCACCCAGAGGCATGAGGTGGGAGCAGGCAGCCCTGCCCTGTCAGGGAACCGTGTAGTGGGCAGGTCCCAGGAGCGCCCTAAACAACTCTTGCAGGGCCCCATGCCAGAGGCCACCGCAGGGGAGGTGCTGAGAGAAGCCTCCGGTACAAATGGGGGCTCTATGAGGAGACCCCAATCCTGAGAGGAGAAGGGGGCCCAGGAGGGGCAGGGCAAGGATAGGGAGGAGGGTGAAAAAACAGACCATTGGCCCTCCCCAGGGCAGCTTCCCTGGGCCACAGGTCAGCCTGAGCTAAGGAGAAAGAAGGACATTAATTTGGAGCTGAGACTGAAGTTTTAAACTGGGCCAGACTAATCTGGACTTTTTAAATCCTAAAACTGACCAGAAATCCTTGCGATCCATTGGAGGTATCATCAAGGAAGGGAAGAGGAGATTCATCAGCACACATTTAGCAGAAATACTTGGAGAAAACATGAAAATCTGCATGTTTGTACTTCACTTAGTTCAGGCTGTCTAACATACTGGTTCCACATCTGTCTGGAGACCATTAGGGCAGGTCCTGTCTGAGAATGGAGTATCCCCAGAGTGAATGAAGCTGAAAGGTGGGGAGAGAGAACAACCTGGATTCCAGTGATAGAGTTTGAGCCCCTGCATCAAGCCATACCTGAAGGTAGATCTCTTCTCTAGAGTTTTCTGTTATGTGGGCCAATAAACTCCCTAGCTAATCTGAGTTTAATTTTTTATCACCATCAACAGAAAGAATCCTGATGGATACAGTGCATATACACACTCTTATTCTTGGGGAGAGGGACATAGCTTTCATTGGATTCTCGTAGGGCATTGCTAATAAAGGATATGGCTCAGAGGAGAGAAACCCTGGAGCTGAAATCCAGTGATCTCACTGACAAATACAAGGGAAACCATTGAATGGAGTGTGCGGGCCTTTCCAGGGGCATCGTGGAAGAGCTAGGTGGGAGCATCCTTGCATGTAGGGGCCGGAGCCCGAGTCTGGCATTAACTGGCACTCTAGAAATATTTGTTGCATGAAAAACAAAAATTATAACAAGTCATACTGTACATGCAGATTTTCAGAAAAATATCGAATGTGTGAACATCTAATCTGCATTTCCATGTTCTGACAGATGGCCCGTATTAACAGAACTCTGATTATAGTAAAGAAAGAAAGAAAAAAAGAAAGAACGAACCTACAAATACTCATTGAGTGGGTACCATGTGCAACACTTAACTATTAAAACAATTGTGACTGCCAAGACTTTTTAAAAAAAAGACGTCTATGTAGTCCCATTTCTCAGAGACAGTCCTAACTATGACTCAGAGAAAGAAAATGACCTGGCTTGGTGGGTGGGAAGGGGGTGCTTTCTTGGCTAGGGCAGGGCTTGGACCCTGTTTCTTCTGAGAAGAGGAATCTAGACCCTGAGAATCTAGGGCTGACCTCTCAGAGTGGAACCAGGAACCACCTGTATCAAAATCATCTGGTAGGTTTATTTAAAATGCAGGTTCCTAGGCCCTGGTCCAGATTTACAGAATAAGAACCTATGAGCAAAGTATCCTAGAATCTGCATTTTATTTTATTTTATTTTATTTTTTATTATTATTATTTTTAAATATTTTATTTATTTGACAGATCACAAGTAGGCAGAGTCAGGCAGAGAGAGAAGGGGAAGCAGGCTCCCTGCTGAGCAGAAAGCCTGATACGGGGCTCGATCCCAGGACCCTGAGATCATGACCTGAGCCGAAGGCAGCGGCTTAATCCACTGAGCCACCCAGGTGCCCCTAGAATCTGCATTTTAAACCCTCTTCCTGGATGCTTGTCTGTACATGAAAGATTGAGAAACTTTACCTGCCAGAATCTGTTTATTTTCCCATGGGTTCTCGGTGCCTGGTGACATTCCGCACAGCCCCAGGGGAAGTGGTTCTCCTGGGGTTGGGGGGGGATTGGAAAGAGGCCAGGGTTCGGTGACACAGTATCACCCTCACTGAGGTCATGGTCAGTTAAGGCTATGTCAGAGGTAAGGGGTTGTGTGAGTGAGGGCCTCTGAATGGAACCGGTGGAAACTCCCCCTGTGTCCTCGTGGTAGAGGAACATAACCAGATACAATTATGATGTAGCTGGTGGGACGGACTCCTGGAGCCCCACAGCTCTCTAGATGACACCACACATTCTTGACTTGATTATTTGCTGCCTTCTGTTGCCCTGGATGGTGTCATTTGGGAGGGAGGTATTGTTTTCATAGACATTTTTTTTCAATTGGTGATTAAATTTCCTGAAGGCGAGGATCATGACTTCTCATTCCTAGAGCTCTCGTCCCCCTTCCACCCACCACCATGTCTCCCACACGGCCGACCACTCTCTAGGTGCTTACAAGTCTTTAGTTCGACCCGCGTTCCAGTTTGTTTGAGACCAACGGGCAGATTCCCTCTACTGCCTTTTCTGCCTTCGTGGGATAACAGCCAGAATGCCCTCTGGCATGTGCTGTCCCGAGTTCTCAGTCCTGTGACATGGGTCTGATCGACTCCAGGGGTGGGACTGACCAGCTTAAGCCCTTCTACGTCCCCATTCCCAGGGCCACAATAGTTGGTTCCAGAGTGGGCAGTGACCTAAGCATCCCGACCAGAGTGAACCTGGTGACTCTGGCTGAGAATTTGGGGCCACCACTTCTTTTCTCTCTCGGTAATGAGCAAGGAAGCCCGCTGTAGTCCTAGACATTCTTGGCAGGCTGCCTGGACTTCGAGAGGAAAGCACACAAGAGTGGGGCCACGACTAAGGTTGCACAACCAAGAAGACACTGGGACCCGAGCACATATTTGACCTGGGTAAAGATTTACCTGAAGCCACATCTGTTCCTGGGCTGCTCAGTGATCTGTACTAATAAGTACTCCTCCCCTTAAATCAGTTTGGGTTGAGTTTTGTTATGTGTCATTAGATGTATCCTAATAGATGTGCCCGTCAGCTCCCCTTAGTCCTCTTGCAGTAAGGTACCTCCATCACCAGGTCCCTCAGACAGACAGACAGAGACAGACAGACAGATACCACAAGTACCCATGAAACAGGATAAGACGGGTGGTGGGAGTAGGTAGTAGGGTTATTTGCATGCATGACTTGCGGAGACTCCATGCCCAAAGAATATTGATTAATGGATCGATGTCAACCTGGAGGGAAGCCCCGTCCTGTTCAACATTTTAATCAATGACTTGGATGGAAGAGGAGGCATGCTTAGCAAGTCTCAGATGACACCGGGCTGGAAGAATTGCTAATATGACAGATGGCAGAAGCAAGATTCAAAATTATTTTGACTGACTTGAGCAATAATAAGGATAAATATAAACTCTTGCATCTAGGCTGGAAAAAAAATCAATTGTCTATGCAGTGGATGGGGGAGACCTGGTTTGGCAGATGTCACAACAGTGGGGCACGTGAAGGGGACTGTAAGCTCATGAGGAGCCCAGAGTTGAGGCAATTGGGAACACAGTTCATGACATTTTCAAATATTTGAAAAATGCTGACCTTGCATCTACTTCCTCAGTGGGATGAAGACGTGGAATTTTCTGGAAAGCAGTTTTCAGCTCAATATGTAACAAAAGTTTCTAAGGATTCTAAGAACAGGCCACCTCCCCCAAACTATGACTGTCATGATTATATCAGAATGGAATAGAAAAAGTCTCTCAGGGTGGTCTTCCCTTTAAAAGCACAGATTTTAACAATTTTAACAACTTGTAAGTCAAAGCAATACACATCCAGAAAGCATCCAGAAAAATATGAGGTCATAAAGTTGCCTCGCTCAGCACCCTTGAAAGTTTGCTTCAAATTCCCCAAAGAGGAGGCTCATTTAGAAGGAGTATACAGAATCTGGACTCGGGACCGGCCAGCCTCATCTCACCTCACACCATTTACGGCCTTCCTCCTCATTCCTGCTTTGGCTTGGCCCATCCTTCTGTCGGCTCCTGCTAGTTAGGACTCCGTCCGTTCCCTTTTCTGCCTCACCCCTGTGCCCCAGGGAGAGTGCTGACCCCACAGCCAGAGCACTGAGAAACCACACCTCGTTCCAGTCCCTGCCCTGTGACCCTCACTCATGGCTCAGACTTTGCGCCTCCCAGGCCGGGCCTGGTTTCATGGACCGCCCTAGATACTGAAGGTATATGCCCAAGACACCTTCTTTTCATTCTTTTTTCTTTTTTTTTACTGTTATTCTAAGCACTTCCTTTTACTCGCTAACCCAGAGAGGTGGAGAACAGGGTCAACAACCCAATTTCATCTTAAAAACGTAGAATGTGGTTTTTGCAAGGAAGTTATCGATAACATTAAGTTTCACTTCTACCAACACAAAATCACGTGTCTGCGGATTCCGCACGACTGACTGTACTCACATATTTCTCATTAAAGCTGTCCACCTCCGTCAGAAGCTTCTCTTGGCAGTCAGGGTTGGTGGCCAGGAGGTAGGTGGCAAAAGAAAGCGTGTTGGTGACGATCTCGTAGCCAGCGATGAGGAAGATGAAGGCCTGGCCCACGACCTCGTCCACAGTCAGTGGCTTGGACAGGCGGCCGGGCTGGTGTGGCCGGGGGGCCCCCGCCGCGCAGTGGGTGGAGGAGAACACTTGTCTGACCATATCAAAGCTGTCCACCCCCACAGAGGGGGCGGAATGTCGGGCATCCAGGATCAGTTGGAGGAAGTCTCTCCGCCTCTACGGGACAAAAGGAGAAAATGCGCATTCTGGCCTCCGACTCACACGAGTGAGATTTCTTGGACCCGCAGGTGTAGCTTTTCTAAAGAGCTCGAGCTTGATGGGAACCAGCAGCCTCACTGTGGGGTTCTCGGAAATGGCGAGAACCTGGAAGCCCCGACTATCCCTCCCATACACTCTGGGTCTCAGACTTCGGTGCAGCAAGCCGCAGACGGTGATGATGCCACCGAAGAAGGATGAGGCCATTCTAACTGGGCTGATTGGGAAGCGCATTAAGCCGTTTTGGGAAGGAAAAAATAGAGCACGTCGCAGAACAGTACGCACAGTGGAATCTCATTTCTGTAAAAACGGTATGTGTACGATATATACAATTACATGTATTTGTTCATGCGTAGAAAATGTTTAGCAACATCCATACCCAGTCGCTCACAGGGAGCTGGAGGAGGTAGGGAAAACTCGGGGTGGGGAGGATGGAGGGAAGCTTTGATTTTTTTTACTTTATACATGTTTGAACTGTTGGTTGGCTGGTTGGTTTTCCAACAATAAAACAATGAAAACATCATGCAGATTTAAACCAAAGCACAGGCTCCCTTGTTCCCTTATGCACCGTTCAGGGCTCATGGGGGTGGCCATACATCTTCCTCACACAGTAGGAAGGTGACAGAGCTGGGGATGGGAGGGAACTAGCCTTGAGGATGCTTGTCTCATCCTTGGGTCCCTTTTCCCCCAGGGAACCTCTGCCCCATTTAAGTACTTAGAGCTTCCTTACTGCCTTCCCCTCCCTTCCTTACCAGCACAGATACCCTTTGTCTTTCACTACCACTAACTGTAACTATACAAGTGTTTACATATTCCTTCCGTATGGATGAAGTGTATCCCTGGCATTTCCCTTCTTCGAAAAGCCCGTTAATGTGATGAGTGACAGCCAGTATGTTCCTCTTTTCCAAAGTTTATGGGGCTAAAGCAGCAAAAGGAGGGCTTCTGAACCACTGGCAGGAACATACTGTAATTTCAAAGTACTTGACTTGGTGCTGCGTTTGCTCATTCATTGGCTTCTGAATTTCTGTCGCATGAATAATCTGTGCCCCACACGTCAGCACTTAATTCCCTCTCGTGAGGTTGTAGTTACTTCCCGTCTTGTTGCTTTTTTTCCTCCGTAAGAGTATAAACATGTCCAGGGCAGGACCCTGTGGCCACCCCCCTACCCCGGGGTGGGTGTGGTGCTGAGCATGTGTTAGGTCTGTATAAATAATCCCGCAAGAACAATGAGATGCAGTAAAATGCATTTGAGAAAGACCCTGTTGGCTTTGCTTACAAGTGCACGGGATCTGGGGCGGGAACCTTGGAGCACCGGGCCTTTGCAGCTTGCCTGCTTCCCCGCTTTTGTGACCTTGCAAGGTGTCTGCCTCTCAAGATTCCGGCAGGCCTCCCAGCTAAGACGAGGGGCCTCAAGGACGTTGCGTTTCCAGGGCGAAGGCCTGTGTGTCTTGCCTGCCTGCTCAGGTGAACCATCGTTGGCTGCCGCTTGCCACTCCGGGCCCTGGTCATTCTGATTTCTGGGTGGCATCGTCAAGGGCTGGCTCTCCCCAGACTCCCTCCTGATGCTTGGCCGACATCTGGGTGGCTCCTGGGGCCCCGCTGCCCACCCTGGTCCCATGGGGCAGAGTCGGGACAGGGCAGGGGATGATGGCCCATAGGGGAGCTCAGAATCTTCCATTGCCTTGGCTCCTGGATGAGAATTGGCAGGACTGACAGCTGGGGAGGGTTAAACTCCTCAGGGCACCAAGCAGTAGTCCCCAAGGCTCACCTATGACTTTGCTGGAGGGCGGGGTGGGCACCCCGGTGGTGGGCAGGAGAGCTCCGGTGGCTTTTTCCAGTAGTGGAGCTTCGGCTGGCCCCCTTTCCTCTCCCTGCCCAGACAGGCTGCTAGAGGGCCATCAGGCGTGGTAGAAATCCGTCTTCCCCTCCAGCTCCAAAGGTCAGTGGAAAGGGCTGCTCTCTGGGGCCCGCACGCTGGAGAAGAGCATTAGCGTAGATGGGTTTCTTTAATTCGCACTGCATCACGGAGGCTATGTGAACACTGCCCATTTAGGACTGAAACAGTGCTGCTTTATGGTTCTATCCAAGAAAAATATGCACCCTGATAGATGTAGGTGTCTAATCCACCCATCGGCTAGAGCTTAGAAAAATATTTACCTTTTAACATCTGTGCTGCATTTTCCACTGCGCAAACACACATCTGCTTGATGGAATGTCTACAGAGTTTAGATGGGTTTAAAGCAAGTTTTCTTAGTAACCATATAGCTCTGTCTTGACACGGGCAGTCCTGGATTTGTGGTTGGGAGGTTTTTCTCAGATCAACTCATTGTTTGAAACAAATAGCTCTTGAGTTTATGAAAGGAAGAGCTTGAGGCAATCCTAGTAATTGGATCTTTAATAAATCCCTCACCTCACAGTAAGCCGTTGGGCGCAACAGTTTTAGGATCTGCAGCCTGATTCCACAGCCTGTGGGTTTCGGGCTGGGGGAGCGGGAGGGGAGCGCGTATGACAAAACTGTCATCAGGAAGCCCGTCAGAGCACTGCTGAGGTTTGAAAACGCGGCTCCCTCGCCCCTTCTTCCCCAGGCTTCCTCATCATTGTGGAGATGCAGGAACCCGGATGAGAATGTTCTGTCCTTTTAGGAGGCAGGGCTGGGCCAAGGACCCCCAGGGAGCTGCCAGTTCTCACACTTCCAAGGGTGTCGAGTGGAGTTCATGATGGTGTGTGGGCCAAGGGTCTGTGAGCGTCTGTGCACCTTCCCCTGCCTCCTGAACTGGGACACCTTTGCTTCCCAGTATGGGGTGGGGGGAAGCCAGGCGGGATGAGGCTGCTGCTGGTGCCTCCCGCCACTAACTGGCCCCGCCCCCACTCCCCATCTCATTCTGGGCCAGTGGTGCAGCCAACCGATCTCCGCGTCCCTCGTTAAGCCCTCTGAGCCAGTCTTTGAGGCAACTCTGCCACGCTCATGCGAGTCAGTTCTGGAGAAGACATTTCAGGCCTATTTTTTCCTTTTGAAGCAACTTTCTCGAATGCAACGAGGCCCTTAAAGAAGAGCATTATACATGCATGAGTGTATCCAACAGTGAAATTATTTTCCCAACACTGGAAAGTCCTATTTCTGTTCTCAGCCAAGTTCAAACAACAAATTATTTCTTGGATTTCCACTCTGCAGGAGGCCTGGTGCAAATCTGTAGGGAGGAAAGAAGTCTCTAGGTCTCAGAGGATGCGCAGGAGCCCTCAGCCCCCGATTGTGTAGCCACGTCCTCCATGCTGAAAGCCAGTGGGGGTTGCTTGTCAGCTGCCCAGACCCTCTCTACTGCCGATGCTCTTCGCGTTGTACAACTCCATCTTGCCGAAGTTCAGGAGAACGAATATGCCAATGGAAAGTCCATGTTGGCTCATTTATCTAGAAACTTCTTTGGGGCGGCTGATGCCGGTGCTTGAGAGAGAGAGGCTGAGCATTTGGGGGGGCACCCATGTCAGAATGTGGACAGTTTGCTCCGGGCTTCTCTCCACCGTCCTTCCCCCTCTGCCCTCACCCTTCTCGTCCGTGTTTGCCCCCCACGACCCCACCCCTTCTCCTTTCCTTCTAGTGCCCTGGAAAGCCCTGAGCGGTAGGCGGCTAAAGGCCAGCGTGCGGGGTGGGGAGGCAAGAGGGAAGGGAGAGTGGTACGAGATTAGGCCCCGTTCCATTTCGCTGCTGTGTCCTATTAGGGTCCCTTACCTCTTCTGCTGCTTGCTGGTCCCGCAAGGCAATCACGTTCCTAACGAGTTTGTTAAAAAATCCATTCAGTTCATCTCGGTTCTTATTGGGCAAAATCCGGGCCAGTGGGACCATTATGGATGGAAATGATACTTGAAAGAGAAAAACAAAAGCAACACTGAAAACAGGGCGGCAGTAACCCGGGGCTATCAGATGCCTGTTGCCAGGGAAGCAGAACACCCACCCCCCGCAGCCCCCCTTTGGAAGGCAGGGCTCCCCTCGGGGTCCGCGTGCTTTATCGCAGGGCTCGAGCCTGATTCCACCTCCCGACTCCTGACCGCCCCTCGCACATTGCAAGGGCTCAGTGCATGTCTGTTCAGTTGCGTCGGCGCTGCCATCCGGCCCCTGGGACGTCAAGCTCGCACTTAGAAATGAGTTTTCGGGGTCCTAGGTAGGAGGGCCCGAGGTCTTCGTGTTCCATCAAGGAAGGACAGATGTTGGGGCATGTTTCACATCTGAGCAAGGCGGGAAGCAGATCTGCTTTCTTAACTTCCTGGACATTTGCCTTTGTTTCCCCGGGGGCAGTCGTCCCCCGAGGGACCACCTGAGTGGTCCCCAAGAGCTGCCACGGCCATCGCTGGCAAGAATGCTGGCCCCTCGGGATCCTCCCTTGCTGTGCCAGGTGCGCCGCCTGTGCCCTTGCTGCCACGGCCTTGGCAGGGCTCCCTGGGCCAGGGACATTCATCCCCTCATGGAGGGGGGGAGGCTCGGCTGAGGGGCTGAGTCAGCTCAGCTTCCCAGCACGGACTGGGGGCCCACTGGGCACAGGCACTGCATGGGAGCCCAGATCGGGGGGTAGTTCTGGACCCCGGAGCTCTCAGAATACTCTGCCCATTTTCAGGAGCCAGAGCCTGAACCACTGTGGTGTGGCAGGGAGGTGGGCTCAGAGTGGCCGAGAGACGAGGTGTAGCAGCACCAGGACAGCGGAGCCGCCCACCGGAGGACGTGCCCGTGTCCCTAGGCCACCGCAGGTGGAGCGGACCCGGAGAAGCAGCTCCCAGGGGGTGGCTGGGGTGAAGGGTGGAGAGGAGGCTGCTCTGAATCCCCTTGGCGCCCCCTCAGTACAGTTTGAGCGCGGAGCCGATGGAGGTGCCCAGGACTTCCACAGAAATGGACTCACAATGGGAAGGGACTGACCGAGGAATGGATACAATTTAGCAGCCTGGCAGAAAGGTTAGAAGTTCGGGCAATGATCAATAACAGCAATAGCAACGCTTCAACACTTCCATAAAAGCAAGAAGATGCCGGAATTGGCCAGAGGGCAAAAACTCACTTCTTGAAATAAAAATAAAATAAATCGACCAGTCCCCACAGCATTAGGTAACCTGCCAGTCACCCTTCACGTATGATTTCTAGTTTGCCGGGTGCTGGGCTTCCAGCGGAGAAGACTTCTGGAGAGGATTTTGCTGGAGGGGGGGAATATGTCATCGAAAATGAAAGGCTCTGGGCTCCCATCTTGGCTCTGCCGTTCTAAGCTTCAGTTTTCTCATCTGTGAAGTGGGGACGAGGTGGTTCTCACAGCAGTGGTGGCGAGAAAGGCCAGCACTACCCACCTTGCTAATGAGTGGCCCCGGCCGGTGACAGCAGAAGCCTGGGTGGTTCCAGGAGCTTAAGGTCTCTGCAGGCGGACCCCGCAGGGCGAGTCTCAGAGACCCCTCCAGCGCCCCTTCCTCGTGGTGGGGGCTGAGCTGCTGTGGGGTCTGGCCAGCTTGCCAGACCCCAGTCCTATACCCATCCCCCTGGGCAAGAGCTGTACTTACCGATTAAAACCAGGACAGGCCTGGGGATGGAGTATGCAAAGAAACGCCTGCAGTGCGTCACAAAGGGGTCCTCGGGGGCCCTTAGGGAGTCCACCTGGGTCCCAAAGGCGACACTCGCAACCACATCTGTGGTGTAGCAGCTGTAGCACCTGCGGGAGAGGGAGCCATTTGGGTTTGGGAAGGACTCTGCCATTGGCCTGGCCATCGCGCCCTGCCCCCACCACCAAGAGGCCCGGCTCCATCGTCTGCCTGCTGCAGTGGGAAGCAGCTTCCTGCAGAGCTGAAGTGAGGGGATGGGATCCCTTGAGCATGGCAGCAGAATTCAGGAGGACACGCGGAAACACACTGGATAGCTGACGCAAACCAAGACTGGGAAGGGGAGGAGAACATCACTTCCCTGACTCTCCGGCTCCAGGCAGACTGAATCAACCAGCTACAAAGTCCAAGAAACGGGCTCCGAACCTTCCTCCCCGTGGAGGGAAACAGTTGACCCAAAGCCCACGCGCATGGAGCCAGAGCTGGGCGGGGTCCGTCCAAAGCCAGGATCGAGGGGTCCATTGGTACAGAGCAGGTTGGGATCAGCAAACTGGCAACCTGGTTGTCTAGTTTGGTTATTTTTGTCCCCCTCTCCCTCTTAATGATTTTACAGTTTTTCTAAGAGTAACAGACCAAAAACAAGGGCGCTTCACACTCAAATAAATCGAAGACAAACTTCGGGACCAGCTTCATGAACACATGTGTGTTATTGAAGAAAACACACGTTGCGCTTTAGAAACAAACAGGAGGAAAAGTGGCAATAGTTCCAGCAAAGTTAACCTCTTCGGCTCTAGGAAACCTGCCCTCAAAGGGCCATTTTTAAGCCAGAATGATCTTTTCGTGCTATCTCCCGGGAGCAGTCAGGTGAAGTTATTTCGAAAAAAAGGGCTACCAACGGGGTATGCATTTCCTTTTATAATGAAAAGTTCTTGTTTTTTGTGGCTCGACACTGGAGCGGGGGCACACGCAGAGGTCCTGTCTTCCAGGCTCTACCACCAACAGCTTATCGTTAAGGCATAAATGACATCTCTAGATGACTTCTTTTCCTTTGTGTGCTTGACGGAAAACATTCCTACAGTTGATTACACATGTCCCCGCTATAGTGAAAACAGTTTGCCTACTGAGTGTGATTGCGTCTGATCCTAACCCCCCAAGAGTTAAGGGTTTTTAAGTTAGTGATTTACTTTGCTTTCATAGTTGGTCTTTAACCAACGCACACAGCCCACGACCAGAGAGAAAAGAGTGTGAGAGGATTTTGTAAACACCACGGCACCATTTGAATGCTGGTGATGGTTTATGTTATTACTTTATGAGTAATGATAATAAGAACGAGTCAGCTTCTGGCTGACCCGCCTCTCTCGCCCTGCTCCTCCCGGGCTGGAAGCCATGACTTAGCCCAGGACAACTGGAGGGGAAGCCGGATAATCAGTCATTTCAATTTGGAGTCCACCACTAAGTCCTGGCTTCTAGGCTGAGGCGCGCAATTCTTGCGGTAAAAATGCATGGACTTTCCCAGCTCACCCCCCCTCCCGCCCCCCCCAACCTTGTCGCTCTGACTCCTCCTGCATCTGCAGAGGTCAGAGGGCGTATCCACCCACACTCCGCTGCCCACTCAAGGCCTCCCTCAACACGCCACACCTACCCTGGGCTTTGTTCACATTCTCTTCACATCTTACGCAGGTTTCATTTCTTCTTATTATTCAGTCCACCCATGCTTTTTATGAGCTTCTAGCATTTCCATAGTTTGCTGGTCCCAAGGTAACTGTCCAGCAATTATGTAGAGTTACAAGAAGCAGCAATTCAAACGCACGATTCCTCATCTGTCATGTATCTATGTAGCGCCCTTACCTCTGGATGTCGAAAGCATCCCCGGATTCCGCATAGCGTTTTAAGTGAGCCAGGAGCAGATCGCAGGCTTGGCTGATTAGGGGCGTCATCTGATAGCAGATAACAAAGGGGTAATTAGGACACCATGCAGGGAGCCCACCTAAATTAGCTGCAGATAAAGGGATCATGTGCGGAGCTTCCTGGGAAAACAGACATTGTTTTCAAGGTAACTTTCACGCAGCTAAGAATCAAGAGGAGGGTCTGAAATTCACAAATATCGTAAAATACAATAGCTGTAAACGTCTATTTTGGCTTAAGCAATCTGTTCTTTGGGAAGCAAAAAGAAGAAAGGATTTAGAGTAAATACTGGGAAATAATTACAAAAATGATCATTAAGTGCTTAGACAGAAATGAGAATCAGTACTCGGTTTCGTGACATTTGGTTAGCATTAGAGAGTAAATAGACCACAATCCATATGTACTCTCTCTGGAATTAGCCCCAATCCATGTTTGCTTGGTTCCAATTTTACTTTAGGTTTTCTGCTAGAATATAGAATCATAGTCTCCAAAGGAACGTAAGGTCGTCCATTTCAACTTTTTACCCAATACAAAAATCACTTTTAGCACCTTTCTGAGGGATGGCTATTCATTTTTGCTTCAGCCACTTAAATCTTTGAATACATATGTGTAAGGGAACCCTTGACTTCAAGGGACCTTCCGTGCCTACCTGGGAAAATTGCTGAATTTCTTTTTTAAAAAATATTCAAATATTTTCATTATGGAAATGTCTAGCATGTGCACTCACACACAGAGAATGGTGTTGTGAACATTCATGTAATTATTGCCCAGCTTCACCAAATTTGGATCTCATTTGGAAATCATTTTTGGCTGCCGTCACTCTGACCCCAGCAGTCTGGCTCAAGCAGGTGGGATTCTTTGCGGAGCCTAAAGGCCACTCACGTGATCTTATCTTTTCTCCTGTATGTTCACAAAGCCAAGTCACCACCATAGAATATAGTGTTATTCTAACGGGTGCACATTCTAGAATAACACCATAGTTAAAGCAACATGCTATAACACATTGTTCTGAGCATTTCTTATGGAAAACATTTTTTTGAAATGTAAATAGGTTCAGATTTTACGATTTGACACTAGACCGTAAATTCCTGAGGGCAGAGAAGATTTTTGTCTTTTTGTCTCTTTGTCTTTTTGTTCATTTTTATGTTCCCAGAACCCAGAGCAATGCCTAGCACACAGTAATTATTTGTTGAAGGAGGAAATGAATTTGAATGATTATTTAAGACCCAGTCTTGGCCCTGAAAATCTTGAGGCTTTAGGGAAAGTTATAGAATGTTAATCTACTTATTAGAAGGTATGTTGTACTGAGCCAAAATTTGTCCCTTCTGACAACCTCTCCCTGCTTTTAGTAGACTTCTTCCACACAGTAGGGATTCAGATACCCAGAGAGCAAGCGCTGGTCCTCTTTACCTCCTAGACACTCCTCACACAACATGGTCTGCGCACACTTCTCCATTCTTCTCTCTCTCTATCTTGTCAGTGTTACTCCTAAAAGGCAGCTCCATCAATGGAACACCAATATTTCAGGTAAGATCCCATAAATCATAAATGGATCACTTCCCTGCATGCCAGTCCCAAGCCCAGGTGTATGTGGACTTTTTGAGAAGACATGTGGGACAGGCAAATATGAGGTTCAGGTCAGCAAAAGCTACAAGGTCTGTTTCCAGGAATCATCGCCATATGCAATTGACTTTTTGACACTTCAGATTCCGTTCATTAGAAAAGCTTTATATTAGGTTCAGAAAAAATGGTTGATAAAATCTTGCTTTTTGTTAATTTATCTCAATAAAAGCCCACTGGAACTCCAAAAAAAAAAAAAAAAAGAAAGAAAAGCTTTATATTTACATTACGTTTGTTGCTGTAAAAAATTGTCCTACCATGTGCTCTGAGCAGAACAATCTTTTAACTCCCCTAAGACATGCAGGTGATTGGAGAAACCTGGCACAGTGGGATAGCCTGGGTGGCTGTTGGCCAGGTGTTGGAGGGACACATGGCTTTGTTGGACCCCTCCTTCCTGGAGGTCTGAAAGCCACCCCATGTTTTCTGGAGTGTAAGGACAGAACTGTGACACCATGGGCCCAACTGTTTGCTGTGGGAGCTCTCTCTGGAGGAGATGGTCCTGAGAAGCAGAAGGACACTCCTGCTGAGTAAGAGTGAGCTATCGGCTAAACTCAGGGCTGTGTGAGTTCCCGGAGTGGGGACCGTGGCCTGGGCAACACCAACAGGCAGGTCAAGGAGCAGATGTTCAGAGCAGAACACTGCCCCCTCTGCCCCACTCCATGGAGAGATGACAGAACATCTGAGATTCTCCCTTGTGGCCAAGCCTTCTGGGAGAAGTATCTGGAGAGGAAAATTCTAAGAAAAAGGACTTTCTTCTCATCCAGCTTCAAGGCCTTAGAGCACGAGGGTGCGTGTGCTGCTCAGTATAGGTGGGCCAAGGGGCGTACTCACGCGTTCAGGTCTCATCTTCCATAACATTGGCTATTGTTTCTTGTTCCCTCTGAGATTTGGTAAATGTGCCTTCTAAGACTTCATTCGGTTTGTCATTGTGTGTCCAGGAGCAAACACAGAACCTGTGGCCCTCCACTAGGTCGTTACTTTAGGGAGCTACAGAATTGGTCAGTCATCAGTGTTTCCAGTTCTTTGGCCACTTGTGCGTGAACCTAAGTAAATAGTCAGCCAGGCGCCAACTGATGGGTAGGTTGGCCGGGAAAGAGTTTGTCCAATGATTTGCCGAAATAGAAATGGAATTAACCTCATGTGCCTATCCTGGAGTCCGCTCAAAACAGGGATAAGAATGGCTACCCTGATTTATTCTTGGTAACTCTGGCGGGGGTGAGGGGGGGGGATCTTCAGGACAGCTGTATTCTTTTCTAAATATTCACCCAATTTAATAATCCATCAAAAGTGCATGTAAATGGGTCCTTTTCAGTGGCCTCTGGGCCATCACTCTCAAAAAATCTTAGACTACCTACGTGTTTGGAGAACTCTGCTATCTCACCCACTTTTCAGCGACTGCCTTCGCTGGCTATATTCTTCCATTATTTTAATAAACTTAGTGGTACAAGTGAACTCCATTTTCATAAAATCCCATATACCAAAATTTCTCTTTGGTTTATTTCAGAGGAATAAGAACACGGTAAAAAAAGAAAAATGCTGTTTGAAAGGAAGTCTTTTTAGATATCAAACTTACAGCTCCCTTAATGTAACAGAAATGGTATGCAACATAAAATTGGATTTGTACTCAACTCTTCAGAAGCATGCCATGTGCATAAAGAGGGGTCCGCCCATACTCAGTCCAGTCGTATGCTGGACAGTGCAAAGGGGGGCTGGACCCACCACCACCCACCCTCGATTCCTCTACGTGTTTGTAACTAGAATGCTTTGTGGCTGACTGGCATGATTGTAGTTTTCTACCATGCTCTGCCTGCTGTCTGTCGCACTGAATGGTTAATGACATTTTTATTTGGGTTAATGTGATATGAGATGGGGCATGTAATATGAAAAATGTTTTAAGAAGCAATGCAGAGAAAATATTATAAGACCGGAGAGCGGATCTGTATGTTGGCCAATGGGCATCATTTCAGGCTTTCTTCCTTGCATTATACACAAGTAGTTATGGAATATTCACTCTCACACGAGTTGCATACAAACAAAAGCTCTCTTTGATGGGCTTGCAATCATCTTTCTACAATCCACAAGCCCAGCAGTTACTCCCCTAGATCTTCAGACAAGCAGGGATAGGTGGCTTGTGCAAACACACACGCACAGATGAGCACACAATGCTATCGTCAGATCTTAATAAAGGATTCTCATTTGATTGTTATGTTTCATCTTTGTAGGATAATGCGAAATTTTTATTTTTGTTTTTTTCCCCATATTTTTCATAAGGCATGGACATGATACTTACCAGATAAAATACTAATGCTATTAGGTTTTAAAAATGATTTCCTCTTGGGGATGACAGTCTAGCAGCCACGCCCGGGAAGAAAGGGTTCCCATTTTGCATCTTTCACCTCTCACATGGGTTGGCTTTATTCTAGACGATGCTGACCGTACAGCTGGCCAGCCATTTGGAAACTAGCAGTCACCATCTAGGGTAAAGTACCACGCTCAGTCTGGGGAAGAAATTCATCAAGGAAGGAAGTCCTTGCTCTTTACCGCTCTCTACCTGGAACTGACTATTATTAAATCCCCCAGTTAAAAAAAACTGGATCTTTGTTTCTTTCTTTTTTTCAGACTGTATCTGAGGATTTCTGAGTCAAGCAGAGACAGAGGGCAATAGAATTAATTTAACAAGGTGGAGAGAGCTTTCTGAGTGGTCAAAATAGACAACTCATGTGGTAATGACAAAGAAGAGCTAAGGAATCTCCTGCTCATAGGATTTCTACTCTCCTTTTAGGTGATTCCCAGCATTTTGCCAGTGGGGCTTCCTTCTCTGAGGCTAAGATGCTGACCTTGTTGAGTACACCTGACCCCGTGGGAGCAAATATTCAAAGCCACTGCCAGTTATTAGATTTCCTCTCCTTGGTACCTTTTAGTTGTGTGACCTTGGGTGAATTGCTCAACTTCGGTGAATCTATTTCTTCATCTGCAAAATGGGGTAATAAGACCGTCTTTGAAGAGTTGTGACAGTGATTAGAAATATATAAAAGGCTTGGCAGTAGAAGGCATGCCAGATGAGGAACCTCCCCTCTGGAGGACCCGCATGCTCCCAGACAGCTCTGGATGCCTGGCACCATTTTCTTTCCTCTTATTCCTTATAGACAAGACTCCAATGGATCCACCTGTCCTTGACTCACCATGTTATCATTAGTTCCTTGTCTCTCTCCCTTCATCTTTATCTCCCCATCGACTACTCTAATTCAGGCTTTGCCACCTGTCACCTGGAATATGGCTGTCATCCTGCTTCTTGAGAACAAAGAAGCGTAAACATCTTTTGTACTCTCAGTACTTTGTATAGTGCCGGACACATAGGCAGACTAAAAAACAGTTTCCAAAGAGCTGCCTAGCCTTCTTTCTTTTCACTTTT